TTCCTGTTGTTCAAATCTTTCTCCACTCCATTTTCCTCTTTGCATTAGAAGCTGGCAAGAAGATTGATGGAAACATATATAAAAGTATAAAATATATTAAAAAGTCATAGATGGATCTAAGTTTCACGCAGACAAATAATGCTACAGGCAAAATTTCTTAGCTGTGCAGAAGATTGACATAAACCAATGTTAATTTTTTTAGATCAGAGGAATTCAGCAGGCCCATTTCTTTAAATGGCTTCATTCTGAAAACTAGCATCTGAAAAGAAAAGATACACAGGATTTTGGGGTGTGTGTTTATGACTGCGATATTCTTTCAGCTACAGGTAATCCTCAATTTACAACCACAACTGAGCCCAACATTTCTGTTGCTAAGTGAGACAGTCATTAAGTGAATTTTGCCCCATTATAAGACATTTCTTGCCATAGTTGTTAAATGAATCACTGCAGTTGTTAAGTTAATAATATAGTTTAAGTGAATCTGGCTTCCCCATTGACTTTGATTCTCAGAAGATCGCAAAAAGTGATCACATAGCAATAGCAATAACACTTAGACTTATACACCACTTCATAGTGCTTTACAGCCCTCTCTAAGTGGTTTACAGAGTCCACATATTGCTCCCAACAATCTGTGTCCTCATTTTACTCACCCCGGAAGGATGGAAGGCTGAGTCAACCTTGAGCCTGGTGAGATTCGATCTACCAAACTGTTGGCAGCCGGTGATCAGCAGAAGTAGCCTGCAGTACTGCACTCTAACCACTGCACCACTATGGCTCAGCTGACATGATCCCAGAACACAGCAACTGTCATAAATATGAGTCAGTTGCCAAGCTTCTGAATTTCAATCATGTAACCGTGGGTATGCTGCAATGGTCATAAGTGTGAAAAATGGTCATGCCAATTTTTTTCAGTGTCATTGTAACTTTGAACAGTCACTAAATGAATTGTTGTAAGTTGAGGACTACCTGTAGTTGATTGCCAGGATAGCAATAGCACTTAGATTTATATATTGCTTCATAGTGCTTTACAGCCCTCTCTAAGGATTTACAGAGTCAGCCTCTTGCCCCCAACAATCTGGGTCCTCATTTTACTGACCTTGAAAGGATGGAAGGCTGACTCAACCTTGAGCCGGTGAGGATCGAACTGCTGAACTGCTGGCAATTGGCAGTCAACAGAATTAGAGTGCATGGTAAGTGATTTGAAGAACTAATCTTTCCTCTGTAAATTAACTAATGAGCTTCTGATGGTAGCCTGTAGCAAGCTGCTCTAGCACAGATAGGAGGACTCAGGTAATGAAATAGACATGCAGCAAACGAATAACACAAGGCAAGGCCATTAATTTCTGCTCTCCAGAAAAGACTGTCAACCATCTCTGACAAGAAACAAGACCATTTTTCCATGTTTCTATCACATGTTAATCCATTTATTAAACAATTAAGCATTCAATAAGAACAGAGTCACTTTACCCTCCTCAAATGGGAAGATGGCCATCAGTTTAGAGATTTAGGACTGGAGAAATTCAGAAGAGACTGGGTTATCAATGGTTGCTAGATGGATGGCAGTTCTGAAATTCTGAAACCCAGGATATTACACACACACACACACACACACACACACACACACACACACACATATATGTATGTATGTATGTATGTATGTATATATATATATATATATATGTATATATATATGTTTATGTAAGTTTTCACGGGTATGCATGTGTGTATATTTAATATTTCGGGTTTCTTCCCGTGTAATTGTGGATATATCCCTAAAAGGGTAGAAGCGACGTTTTGACAGAATCCCATCTGCCATCATCTATAATCTATAAATATATAAATAATATTTCCTAGAATCCATTTTTTAAGATCAGCTTAATATTGAGCCATTGGTTGTAAGAGAAATTGACCAGCCAGCTTGTCATCTGAGCCTGACATCATGGGCTGAGAAAGAGTGACTGGCCTAAAGTCACCCAGCTGGTTTTCATGCCTAAGGTAGAACTCATAGTCTCCTGGTTTCTAGCCTGGTGCTTTAACCACTAGACCAAACTGGTTCTCCCCAAGGTATAATATTTACTATCCACAAATTCTTTAATTCCAGTTTAAATTTAGGTAGGTTGATATTATTCTGGCTCATTCTAACTATTGCAAAATCCAGAATGTTATCTCGATGGACGTAGTTTCATGCAAAGCTTTAGCAACCACCCAGCTTCTGACCACTATTCTATTCTCAATATATCCCTAGACTAATGCCTAAATGTTACATCCTTTTCAGGTTTAACAAAAGACTCACCCAGTACTTTTATAACATCCCTCTATATTTCAATGTTCAGAATGGTGGCATTTCTCATCCCTTTTGCATGGTAGGTGCTAGGAGCATCTCATCTAAACTCTTCTGAAAAAAAACAGTATGCTGTCTTACATTGAAATAGTTGGAGGAGTGTTAGATTCTGCATTGATGAGAACAAGCCAGAAGCAATCTTTCTTCATTATAATTATTGCTATTCTTCCACATAAGAAATCTCATATTCCTCGACATAAGAAATATATTCTGTTGCAATTGTAGACCAGGCCATAATCAACTGATGGACATGTCTTAGGTGGATGAGGGTCAGTATAATATGTGGAGATGCAGGATTTAGGACTGCAGGTGGCAAATAAAGATGCAAAATGGAAGTGGCCATATTGCACACTTTAACATGACCTTATTTTTTTGTTTGGCAAACCTAGGCAGCATATTAAAAAGCAGAGACATTACCTTGCTGACAAAGGCCACTGTAGTCAAAGATATGGTTTTCCCAGTATGCATGGCCATGAGAGTTGGACCATAAGGAAGGATCAACACCAAAGAATTTATGCTTTCAAATTGTAGTGTTGGAGAAGACTCCTGAGAGTCCCTTGGACTGTAAGGTGATCAAATCAGTCAATCATAAAGGAAATCAACCCTGGCTGTGTTTTGGAAGGACAGATACTGAAGCTGAAGCTCAAATATTTTGGCCACCAAATGAGAAGACAGAGCTGATTGGAACAGATCCTGATAGGAAAGAAGGAAGGCAAAATGAGAAGGGGATGGCAGAGGATTAGATTGTTAGATAGTGCCATAGACGCAATGAACATGAATTTGATCAAACTCCAGGAGGACAGGGAGGTGTGCTATGATGCATGGGGTCGTGAAGAGTTGAACATGACTTAGCAGCTGAACAACAACAAATGTTTATTTTTGCCTCTTGTGAAGGAATTATATTTTTAGGGCTAGTGCCTTAATATATGGAAAAACAGCCCATTGCTTTTTCATCATTTATATACAAGAGCCTCAAGCATCCAGGAAAAAAAGGATTCACTGACATAGTCTGCCCACTTCTAATTTAAAATCATGTATAAGACCATTTTTGGCTAGAGTCAAAGATACATTTCTAACCAGACAACATTCTGGATTGGCTGCAATATTTCTTACATTGTCTAGAGATATGTGTGTGTGTGTGATTGATTTATAATTTATTTAAAATTTCCATACAATCAGATCACTGTCTCCAGTTATATTTTTCAAAAAGCAAGGGGAAAAAAAGAAAAGAAAACTAAGATAAAGATCTATTTCTTAGAGGTCCTTTGTTAGTCATGTTAAACATGTGGCTATTTTGAAGTGTCTTCATCTGAAACACTATTACTCTAGCCTTCCCATTAAAAATCATACATACATCTGACAATATGTCAAAAGATCTAACAAAAACCATGCCCCTCTCTTAAGACATTCAAAATAAATACACGACTGACCTATACATAAGTTTAGAATAGACTTGCTCAGTGAAGATGTCCTAATGAAAGAACTGTTTAAAAATCCAAAGTTTATTTTTGCTTCTGAACAAAATAGGATCCCATATGTTGTTTTGAGTATAACTTCCTTAACTTCCAAATCCATGCTAATGTTCAGGGTATGTTAAAGTTATACTCTAGATAACTTGGAGGGCACCAGTTGTCTGCTTCTCCTGAAACATATTTAATTTGCAAAAAAATTCTAATAGTTACATTAGATGGTTGTTGGATCAAAAATCACATAGTGCTTGTATATGTTACACTTTGTTTTTAAAGATTGTTCATAGTGTTGGGAGTCTTTATCAAAGAACTTTGAATACCTGTCTTGTTTTTTGTCCCAAAGGTGCTTTTTCAAGAGGCAACTGGACTTTCTGGTTTTTCTTTGAAGACGTTTCGCTTCTCATCCAAGAAGCTTCTTCAGCTCTAAAGAACACACTCTGTTTTGTTTTGTTTTTGTACTTTATATAGGCTGCCTTGTTTATTTTTTAAAAATCGACTAAAAAAGCCAATTCCTTTCCTTCTATTTCAAGAACTCTGAAGTGAAAGAAATCATACCAACCCAATCTGTTTAAATCACTTTGTATCATTCAATGAAACCATGACAGAAATAGAACATATTGGAGTCTCAGTGTGCTTGAACTTTAGAACAGAAGGATGTACAGCTATTTCTTTTCAGAAATTGCTGGATACCTTATTGACTAGTTGTGGAATGCTGCAGCTAGGAGTGGCAGGTTACGATCTAATTTTAAGGTTGAAATTTAGGATTCAGTACCCTCAATTGGTTTGAGGAAATGAGTTGTGTTTGTTTTGTAGGTCTTAGGCTGAGACATCTTACAGTTTCTTCCACTTCGCTTTCTACATTACTTGCTTACTCAATCTCTCTCCTCCCTCCCCCATCACTCCGATTTTCGAAAACAGAGGAACACTCAGTCCAATATGAGGAAACATGGAGAGAGAGAGAGAGAGAGAGAGAGAGAGAGAGAGAGAAAGAGGGAGGGAGGGAGGGAGGGAGAATCAATCAAAAAGAGTCAAGCATTTATTGAAACCAGCTCTACTCCACCCTCCTCCCCTTGCCCCTCCCTGAATCTTTTTTAGAGTTGACCATTTGTGGAACAGGAAACGTCAGAGCACAAAGCTGCTATGGGCCCCTGCTCTGTGGAATGATTTCCTTTCAGACTGTCCCGTTATCTTTTAGCTGGCAGGACATTCTTCTTTCTCCCTTCTTTGCTGAAAACTACTCTTTCTGCTCCCCCCCCTTCTTATTTTTCTTAATCAATCTCTCTCTCTCTCTCTCTCTCTCTCTCTCTCCCTCTCTCTCTCTCTCTCTCTCTCTCTCTCTCTCTCTCTCTCTCTCTCACACACACACACACACACACACACACACACACACACACACACACTTCACTGGCCATACTGCCAAAAAAGTCCATCCTCCGCCCTCCCCTGCTAACTTCCTTTCAGCATTTCCTGAACTGGATAATCCCAGAATTTGTAAAAGCAGAGGAAAGGGGAGAGTGAGAGAGACTGCATTAAGGAAGGAAGCCAATTCCTTGTTCTCCTAATACTGTCCGATAACCCTAAAACAGAGTAAGGGGTTTAAAATGTAGAGCCTACATAGAATTGTAGCGCTTCATCAGTTTTGTATTTTTCTCTTTTTCCCTTTGCTCCCTTTTTTACAAGTTCATTGGGAAAAATGAATTTGGAGTCTCTGGTTTTTTTTTTATGAAAGACCCAGCTTGATTTAATTTGAAGGCCAGCTTCATTTGATTTGTTGGGATGCATCAGCAAGGAAGAACCTCAGCCAAAATCTGAACTCTGTTGCCAGTTGTGCTGGAGACACTGGTTTCTTAACTCCCTCATAGAGAACCATCCTGAACTTGGGCTACAAACTATATGCTGCTTCCTGCTGGAGATCTCCATATGTACTGATTGTTCCCTTCTACAACAGCCTTAGTTGTAACAGCTTAACATCTGGTGGAGATTAATGTTGAGGCATCCGGCTGAAAGTTCTTCTGGGCTTTCAATGTTGCTGACCAGAAACGGGACACAAACAACACAAATCTAAGAATAAGAGGAGAGAGCTTTTAACTTATTTGGTGTAAAAAGGGGGGTGGGGGGAAGGAAGGAGGGGGTAATCCTCTTTTTTGGAACTAACTCATGAAGAACAAGGCAGGAAAGCTGAAACTCAAGAGGAAAGGAGCCACGAACGTCTTTGGCTGCGAGCTGAGTGAATATCTGGAGAGCTCTGGACAAGATGGTAATCAAACATGGTTTCTTTCTTTTTTAATTTTTCTAATGATGGGTCTGCTGTGGTTCTTTAGGGTTGGGAAACTTAGTGGTCAAAATATGGAATTTGTTTATTTCATGTGCATAAGATTTTTTAACCTGTTGCCTGGTTCTATCAGTGATCGACCAGCAGGGTGCTTAGTTCTTGTAAATTTATCGCTATATGCCAGAGAGAAAGGAGAAAAATTATCCCTAAGACTTGAAGTATATGGAGAAGATGTATTATATACACACCAATTTGGAAATGGCTTCCTTTTCAAGGTATGTATGTATGTATGTATGTATGTATGTATGTATGTATGTATGTATATGTACGTATCTATCTATCTATATATACATATTATTGAGAGGGGTGTGGAAAAATGGTTGGACAAATGTGGGAGAAGCTGCTAGTATTTCCTGTGCATTTTATTAGACACCATGTCTTTTGCTTATGATTAATATTCTCGGATAAACATATGATGTGTCAGACTGTAGGAAGCTGAAGTCCTAATCTGTTTTTAAAGTAGTCAAAGGAAGAGAAAAGCAGATTCCACCTCCCAAATGGGCTAGATGATGTGATGCAGTGCTGCTAATATTTTTAGAAACTACATATATGATGACCACTAGAATTTCTCTGCACCTTTATGCCATTTTCATGATCCTGAAATGTTGGTTCTTTAATACAAAATGATCTATTAGCAATATAATTTTCTTGATATCCAATAATAATGAGTGATAGTTATTATTGTATCTGTAAAATAAATGCCTCATAAAGGAAGTGCATTTAGTGTATTTGAAATAAAGGATATGAGATTGCTGCACAGTGCCATTGTCAGCATTTCACGCTGCACGACTTCGAAACCTGACAGCCATGAGTTGACAAACTGCATTGCTTTGCTCTTGGGTGCTGTCTCAGATACATTTACTTACCTCTAGTAATTGCACAAGGAGTGTCATCTCAAGTTGGTCTTCTCACAAAGCTGAATGTATTTTGCAGAAGGGCATGGCATCTGTGGACAAGTATGGCTATGTAAATTACACAGTAACCTTGTCACTCCTGCAGTACAGTTTTTATCATTTGATGTTCATTAAGAACTGGGAAGAATAGTAAAAAAAGAAACTGCAAAAAGAGATCTCATTTATTTCAAGTTAGGGCACTGCAACTTTTGACCCACCAAATCAAAATAGGCACGGTCAGTCAACTCTGTTAAAGGATACTTAAACCTAACTATCCATGGTGTTTTTATTGAAATGCTTAATCCATATCCCACAACTGGAAACTTGAACTAGCTGACACAAGGATTTTCAAGTATGGCACTCTGATTTTAGAACTTTTTATTACATGAAATGTAACAAATATTTTGTTGAACAGCTTTTCAGTCAATTGTTGGTTTGGTTTGAATCCTTGTTCCCTTGCTATTGTAAGAAAAGTTGCTTAATGGTAGAATATTGTATGCACTTTCTCCTGGGAAATTAGGTAGGCCTAGGAAAAAAAAACCTCCCATGGGATATTGAAAGGCCATTGTCCTAATGTCGAATACAAAACAATTTCCTGTTAGGAGTATCAGATTATATGGATAATCAAACCCTGTCAATTATTGGAATGAAATATTCAAATTGATTTTGAGATATTTCATTGAATAAATTGGCTTTGAATCACTTCAAAAACAACTGAGGACAATTTGAAACATGATAACTGACTCAAATGTTGCAACTTTTCTAACATATAGGAATAAAACTGGGGTTTGGTCTTAAGTAGTGGTACTCTTAAATTGGTATAAATATCTGACCAATGAGTTTCATTATCTCTAAAAAAAATTGCCTTTTAGATGAACCATTGCTGCAGAACAATGGTTCTGCTATACAGTAATTTGTTTAGGCAGGTTCTCTAGCAAAGAAGAGAGATCCAAATTTATCCAGTTGCCTTTTTTTTAATCCCAAAAGGGAAAGATTTCCCCTGTCCAGTCGTGTCTGACTTTAGGGCGCGGTGCTCATCTCTGTTTCTTGGCTGAGGGAACCAGCATTGTCTGAAGACATTTTCCATTGGCTAAATGCCAAAGGGACATGGAACACTGTTACCTTCCCATTGAAGTGGTACCTATTAATCTACTCACATCTGCATACCTTCAAACTGCCAAGTGGGCAGGAATGGAGCTCACCCTATTGCACAGCACTTGGGTCTCGAACCTAGACTGTCAGCTTTCCAGTTGTCAAGCTCAGCATCTTTAGCTGCTGAGCCATCATTTGTTCTTTGTATGATCCTTTATCTTTTCCCTGATCCAAAGCCATATATTCTTATAATTAACTTTCCATTTGTTCAGCTGATTTTAAGAATGGTTCAGTCAATCTCTGTATTTAATCTGACTGTTGAATTCAAGTTCCCTGCTTATTTTCTTTTTCTTTTACTCTCTCCACTACACCCCAAATGAAAACAAACAAACAACAAAATTAAAAAAAACCCAAAACAAGAAAAAGCTTTGATCATGTACTGAATGAGCCTTCTTTGCATGAATGGTATTAAATTGTAGGCCTGCTATTAACTATGCATCACAAAGATTATGCACCACAGTATATATAGTATGTTATATATTTATACTGTATATACAGTATATTATGTATACAATAGTGGTTATGGATCCACAAATCTTTCTTCTATTGTTGGATAAGTGACACATAATGGGTCACTTTCTTTTTTAAATTTTATATTTTTTTTCTTCTTTAAAATGCATAAGTGCTTAATAAACAGTGTATTGTCTGGATCATTTTGTTTATACAAAGTATTAATGAAGTAGTAGTGAGAGTAATATTAATCATAACAACCATAGTGAGAATACTAATAACTACTTATATTAAAATTCTTACATCATTTACTTGTATATATCAGTAATCTTTCATCTTCCAATTTCTACCTCTATTATGCAACCATTGATAAAACATATCCCATGTTAAAAAATATTCTGTTTCTTTCTTCTCTTTTATTATTGTCAATCTATCCATCTCCGCACAGTCTAATATTTTTCTAATTAAACTTTCATTTGTAGGTGTATCTTCATTTTTCCAATGTTGTGCAAATAGAATTCTCACTGCTGTCAACACATGTATTATTAAATATATAGTCTCTTTATTATAATTTTTTTGGTATTATACTAACAAAAATACTTCTGGTTTTAAGTCTATGTGTTGTTTTATCATTTTCTCTAACCATGTATGCATTTTTGTCCACTTTTATTTTATTTTATTTTATTTTATTTTATTTTATTTTATTTTATTTTATTTTATTTTATTTTATTTTATTTTATTTTATTTTATTTTGCTTTTGGGCAAGTCCACCACACGTGAAAGTAAGAACCCAGTATCTGATTACATTTCCAACATTTTGTGGACATATTTTTAAACATCTTTGCTAGTCTCGCTGATGGCAAATGCCACCTATAAAACATTTTATACAGATTTTCCTTGTAGGTAGTTGCCATTGTCAATTTGTAATTTCTATCCCAGAATTTTTGCTATTTATCTAATTCTATGGTATATCCAAAGTTTTTTGCCCACACTATCATCATTTCTTTCACCTGTTCATCTTCCATTTTAATACTTAACAAATAACTATATATTTTCTTTATTAATTTTTCATCCATCCCTAAAAATATCTGATCAAGTGCTGTTGGCTCTTTATAGAATCCATGTGCCTTTGCATCTTTCACATATCTTGGCTGTATTTGCAATGTGTCACTTTCTTAAGAGTTCATTTTGCCATGCCAGTGAATCTGCCAGCTCAGAAAAGCAAGCAGGGAATGGTGGATTCACTTGTTTTTATGTTCTTAAATAAGCACTTCCTTTGTAAACAGTTTTTGAACATTTTTATTTTAAATTGAAGAAACATACTTTCCGTATTAATTAAGCACAACTTCTTGGAAGTTGAAAAACTTCCTGAAAAGGTCAGAAGCTGCTGTGCTAGGTTTTTGCTTTTGTTGTTGTTGTTGTTGTTGTTGTTGTTGTTGTTGTTGTTGTGTTGCATACTTATTATTTCTGCACAGCATTCTGCCCCAAATGCTGCAATTGCAGGTATTTTGATATGTCACCATTACAGCCTATGACATAAAATCTTACTTAATTCTTCATCAGTTGGACCAAACCTTAAAAGATTCCACCTGTTAATACGGGAATGGAATATCTGGGCTATAATTTAGTTAAAAAATAGCTGAGTTGGATTTGCGGAAGACTTTAAATTGAATTGAATCTTGTTGTATTCAAGATGGATCTGGGCTGATTCATATACATCTACAGTATTTCCTTATGTTTTAGTGAATATATTTTCTACCTAGTTTTCTGTTTTTATTATTTGATTGCAATTTTATTTGTAATGGTTGCCATGCTTGGAACCATATGGCCTTAATCAGTGGTTCCCAACCTTTCTGGCTTCACAGACTGGCAGCGGTGGCAGCGAGTGGCTGGGGGGGGGGGGCGCGCGGAGATGGTTTTGTGCGCGCAACCTTATTTATTTATTATTTATTTTTTATTTGATTTATTTGATTTTTATATCGTCCTTCTCCAACAGGCTCAGGGCGGTGAACAGCCGAGATAAAACAAAGCATATAAAATTTAAAAACAGTTTAAAAGATATTAAATAATTTCAGCCCACAATTTAAAACAACCCAATTAAAACCAATTTCAAATTAAAACCGAAAGGATGGGATCAAGCCAGCCCGGCTAGATGAAATAAATGAGTTTTCAGGGTTTTTTTCCTGTACATGCACAAATAGTGCTTTGCATGTTCCCCCATCTCTTATTCCCCATCTTTCAGTCCATCTCTGGACTGGCAACCCAGTTCTCAAGGGGCCATGGAGTGGTAGTGGTTCACAGACCAGGGATTGGGGACCCCTGGCCTTAATAACAAGAAAATCATGAATTTTATTCCGCATAACATTTCGTTCTTCTCTTTTTTCCAATTCAAAATAGTCACCATAGAGTTTACTAAACTTCTAATGGCTC